GCTCTGAGCCCAGGATCGCGCCGCTGCGCCGCCTTTGCCCGCGGGGCTCCGGACAAACACGTTGCAAACCCCGGAGCGAGCGAGCGATGGAGAGCCGTGAAACCTCCGGTGGGAGAGCCGATGCTTTTTGCTCACCGCCCCGAAAGGTCCCGCTGTTTAGTCTCCGGCATCTTCCCCCGTTGGAAAGCACGCGCGAGATCCCCATCGCCGCTTTGACATCGAAGGAAGCCGCGGATGACTTGGGCGGGGAGGCGCAGCCGTGGAGCGGGATCGCGAGTGGGTCCGGCCCGCTCTGGGTGGGCTTCTCCGGAGGCCTCCTCGCCAGAAGGAGCCTCCCACCCGCGCTCGGACCGTTCGCTTTTTTGGAAGGACCGCTCCCAGCTTCTCCCCCCACAGACGGTCCCTGCTGAATCGACTGAGGGGGTGGGTGGGATTCTGCTAACTTAAGCGTCCCCCCCCCAAGAAAAACCTCAAACTGTGCAGAGATAGGAGGAAAAAAGTAGGGAGCAGTTGGCTCACTAAGCCCCTGTTGATTCAATAGGCCTACTTTAGTGCAATCTGATGCATCAAGCAACAGGATAAGCTAACAATTGAGAGGCAGTGTCAAATGTAGCCTAACAATATTAAGTGCTTTGAAATCAAATCATTGGGTAAAAGGTAAGCACACAATTAGGAGTTCATACTGCTGGACACACTGGGATTTCATGCACAGGATTCGATACAACGTGTGACTTAACCTTCAGTCTGAAATCTGTGTTGCTTTAAGCTATGTTGGGTGTCTCTGCACAGTTTGAAGTTATTTTCCCTGTTCATCTCTTCTGTTGTTCATGGGAAATCCAGGACCTCTGCAGGATGACCAGCTGGTGTGTTCTCTGCTTCTTCCTTCTCTAAGGTCTCTGTAATCCTTACCGTTGCGTTGATTTGAATAGGATCTTGCCCTCTTGTCCTGTTTCACACTGGCCTCACTGGCCCTGTTCTGCCCCATAATTGCCTTGGAGCACCTTACTTCGCTGCTGCTTTGTTTTCATCCACTAATTCTGGAACGGTATCTTTTCAGTGGGTCTCATCATATACGTGACTTATTCCTTAATCTCTCATACCATGAGATAATATCATCCACCTCTCATTTGTTCTATTCATCAAGTTCTATCTGAACTGCTATCAGTCCAGCAACATAGGACAGGGTTACACTACGGAAATGGATGGGGAGATAGATGAATCGGGGTTTCTGAAGTTGTGGTTTTTGGGTTGGTGTGTGCATCATCTAGGGAAAATCCATTTTTAAGTCTTTTTGTATATTGGTTGGGGGGAGGCTACACAGACTTTTAAAATTGCTGCATTTGAGGTTTTATCCTCCTGGTTGCTGAACCCACGTGCATGGGCACACGGGCGCACATGCAGGGAGGTGGAGAAGGAGAGGGAGCAACTGATCTGGCAGTTGGGGCTGACCAGAGGAAAAGCACACCAGTGAGTGTAAAAGAGAAATTGATCAGAGAAATTGACCAGTCTGGCAACTTGTAGATCTGCAAAGTCCAGCACTTTTTCCCAGCCAAGCTTTCTCTTTGCTGACTCTCTTTTCTGATTTCTTTGCAACCTATGCTATATTCCATGCTTGCCTTGTGGCACAAGCCAATCCTATTGTTCTGTTTCCCTGTGGCTTTGCCTGCAAGCAGGAGGAATGAAGGGGGTGGGGAGAGAGCAGAGAGGCTCTGACACAAGCAGGCACACATGCCGAAGCAATTCAATATAAATCAGTTAAAATAAACAACCCTTGCGTGGCTGTTTGAAATAGCTTGCTTTTAAAAAAAAACATGCTTCTGGGGGGGGGGAAGTGTGTTTTGTTGCATGTCATGTAATATTTTAAAATCAATTTCAAGCATGCTAAATCTGACACAAACCCGGGAATAGTTCAGGGTGTAATAGAACCCTTCTCCCACTGTTTCACATCTTGTTGTGCATAATTTGTTAATGTTTTAGCTGGAGGATGTTAACGATGCCTTCCCTGCCTTTATTCTCCCATTCCACTTTCATAACTTCCATCTCGCCTCTCAAACTTTCCCTCCCCAACTCCAGGCAAACATAGAACAATATATTGTTCCTCAAGTTGGCGGTGTGCTCCTAATCCGCCTAGAGTGGACTGGTAGCCCAGATAGGTGGGGTATAAATCAAATAAATAAATAAAAATAATCCAGCAGCCCAGGTGAAATAATTACCAGAACCAGCAGACTCAAGAGTTTTGCTGTGGACTGTTTTTCCATTTCATTTAGGCAACAAGATTGTTTTCTCAGTGACTAACTGATCTTGGAGGGAGAAGGGGAGGGATATACACAATAATATGAGGTGTAACATACCCTTTCTCTCCAAACGTTTCCTCTGGGAGAGCTCCTTCTTTCTTTTGGAATTTTGTTTGAACTTCATAGGCTTTACCAAAATGAGTGGTTATTTCCATTCCAACAGCTTTCAGCTGTTGAGTATCTCTAAAAGAAGGTGTTGAGGCATGAGGAGTCAATGGGGTTCTTGCTGTTCTTTCCTTCTCAAGGCTGCTTTCCAGGGACTCTCCGACTGGCTGTTTTAGGTATTGGGGGGCTACAAAGGGGTCTGTTGAGGGAGGGGGACGCGATGTGCCATTTGCTGTGCTCCTCCTTTCTTAACAAAAAAAGGACCCATTGTCACCCAATCAACTGTCAATTAAGCACTCTCAGATACGTACCCTGTTTCCCTGAAATTAAGTCCTAGTATGATTTTTCAGGATGCTCGTAATATAAGCCCTACCCCAAAAATAAGACCCAGTGAAGTGAAACCCCACCCTCTACCATTTGTGCAGCAACCAGAAGACGATGACATGACTGTATTTGAATAAATGTAGATTGTTGTACATGGAAAAAATTAAAACATCCCCTGAAAATAAGCCCTAGTGTGTTTTTTGGAGCAAAAATTAATATAAGACCCTGTCTTATTTTCAGCATCATCTGCAGAGGCTACGGGGAAGTGTAATTATTTTTTTCATGTCATTTCGCTCTCTGTCAGTGCCTTTCCTTTCCCCCTTTTCCCCCTCCCTGCTTCTCTTCTTTTATTCCCCCTCTTCTTCCTTGGAATCTGCAGCCATTATGGCAGAGAGTGCTATAGGCTATTATCTCCAGGCTAAACAATGAGCATACAAAAAAAAATGCATGCCCTACAGCTGAGCCAGAAAGGTGTGTGACAGCTTCTAAAGGGGAAGGATGGATCGTCCTACATAGAAACACTTGCGGATGTAGTCTTTTTTAAAAATCCAACCATAACATCAGCGATCCATATATCATGTCTATATGCTAGTGGATTCAACCAAAAGCAGATTCTATGAAGAGATGTCCCTTCACATCTATTACAACTAGTGAGGGACCTCAAAAAAGAAAAGGGAAGAGAGTGAGTTTGCTTTTTTGGCTTTCCAGAGCTTATTAGCATAGCACAGAGAGGGAGGAGGGGAGACATCTAAGCGCTCTTATTTGTGTGCTCAATCCAAAGCAGACATATGTTAAATTCTGGGCTCCATTAGCTGACCTTCAAAGACCAACAAATTTTCTACCTTTTATCTGCCGGGCTTGTATGAAGCTGCTATCTGTCTACAATTGTGATTCTTCAGAATATACAGTGGTGCCCCGCTAGACAGTTACCCCGCATGACAGTTTTTTCGCTAGACATTGACTTTTTGTGATCGCTATAGCGATTCGCAAAACAGTGATTCCTATGGGGGAATTTTGCTGGATAATGTTTGGCCCCTGCTTCGCAAACAGATTTTCGCTAGGCAATGATTTTGACAGCTCCCTCTGCACTCACAAAACGGATGTTTTCAGCTTCGCAAGACAGCTGATCGGCGGTTCATAAAGCGGCTTTCCTATGGCCGATCTTCGCTAGACAACGACAATTCTTCCCCATTGGAATGCATTAACAGGTTTCAATGCTTTCTAATGGGGAAATGCTTTTCGTTAGACAATGATTTCTCTAAACGCGATTTCAGTGGAACGGATTATCATTGTCTAGCGAGGCACCACTGTATTCCATGCTAGACAGGAAGTGAGGGGGAAGAGAAAGGAGTGAAAATAAAGGGTTAGTGTAAACATAGATAGAAACAACCTCACTAGAAGTGCCAGGCCTGGTTAAGACTCTTTCCCCATCCAATGCACTGACAAAAATGTGTTGTTGTTTTTTCCACCCCAGTAGATGGGAGAATATAAACAGAAATGTCTCAGAGATGTCTAGAGGTATATTTAAATCGTAGCAGATAAACGAAGAATCAGATCTCATGAAAAGAAAGGAATACAAAGGAAATCAGGAAAATCAATGAATTTATACAATACGGCGATCAAATTAAAAATACAATGCAGAATAATCCTGATTAAAATATCAGGTAAAATCATATGTAAAATTATCCACCATTACCTCTTTATATAACATAATAACATAACATAATCAGCCGTCTAGTTAAACCTCATTATGTTCCTGGTAGTTTTGCAGACTGGCCTAAAGGTTGGAAAAGAGAGACTTATTCCAAGAAAACACCTCCCTGAATACTCAGGGGAATGTGCAGTAAAATGTCTGTGTGTGTGTGTTGAAGAGATAAAAATAAAAGAAGAATTTATGGAAATCATACTTTGCTCAGAGCAAAAATCTAGCCCACAAAAGCGTGTCTCTCTGTAGAACTCCGAAGGGAGAGCGAATTAGGGAGAAGTAGAATCTCCCCTAAGAAGTCATCTATTCTAGCCCACTGTAAAAACTGAAGCTTTTCTAAAAATGAAGGCAAAGCATGACCAAAGGCAGTGAAAAATCTGCAAAGGTAAAAGTAAAAATCACACGGGGAAAAAAAGTGAACTGAAATGCACGTGCATGTGGGCAAGAGTGAGTGTCAGCGCTTCCTCCCCAAGCAGCAATTGCATTTAGTTCCAAACATCACTAATTTTCCTGCCTTCTGATTAACT